GGGCTTCTGGCCTTACTACTAGGAGCAGGGACGCTACGTTTGGGGCTCCTGGCACGTGGACACGCGGCCAATCCATGGCGCCAGGTGGGTGACTGGTCGCAGGCACTGTCACTGCTTTGGGAGATGTCCACCTCGGACGAGAAGATCTTGCAATTCTCTTGGGGTGCAGCCATTAGCGCATGCCGAAGCGAATGGATATTGGCTGCAGAACTCTTGTGTAAGATGCGCCTTCACAGCAGTCTTGAAGTGTGTACATCAGGGAGTTGCAAAGAAGAGACAGAAGCGCATAACTGCATAACCTCATAGGACCCCAAGTGTTTCCAAATAGATGATGCTCAAAGAGACTTGGCATCGTTCCGTGTTTGTGGCTTGGTGAGAAGAACGCATCAGCGTACGCCCAACCCGAGGTTCACTGCATCGCTCCAAGTGGAGATGGTCTCCAGCGCCTTGGGCCCAATGCCGTAGTGGCATTGCAAATGAAACGTGGGCGCAAAGCACTCAGAGGGTCCAACCAATTCAAGTTATTTTGCTCCACTCGTGCTCCACGTCCGCTCACACCCCTTCAATTTTAACACCTCCACAGAACAAGCTCTTGACATAGACCGCGTTCACCTCGTTCGGGCTGTGTGTCTCCCCGGACCGCCGCACAGTGTTTGAGGCCACTTCCGTATGTTGGGCTCATTTTGAACCCAGGAGTCGCCTATACAAACGACCAGTTCGTGAGGTAGTTCGACTGAGGCACTGCCGCTGCGGCGGCCGCCCTGGCCGAATCCTGGAGGATTGCGGTGTCCATGCTCAGCTCGTCTCATCGCCTGCGCATGGACATGGACGAGGCACCTGGGAACTTGACGGTTTGGTGACACGGTTTGCTTTAAAAGGCATGGAAAGGGCTTCACGATGCTTAGTAGTGAATGCCATGCTTTAAGAGATGCGTTACCTCGGCGCGCGCGCGCGCTAACAGGAAGCACATCACATAAACTTTCATCAAATGACTCTTGACTGCTTTTCCTTTATCTTTCTGTCTTTTATGTGTTCTTCTTTGTTTCTACTAGCGATGGCCTCCAACCCAATAGCAAACTACTTTTGACGAGCCGTTTTCCTCCCCCAGAACATCCAATCTTCTCACCTCCGACCACCTCACATCTCAACACTTGCCAGAAGAGTTTTTTTGCTGGCGTTCAACGGACTGCGGAACAGCCAGCAGTGCATGGACGTGCTGGAGGATTTTGACGCATCGTGGCTGCAGTGTGTCGGATCTAGGAGGCTGAAGAAGCTTCGATCTTCGCCACAAAAAAGGTCGACACATCTGTGATGGAGCTACCCTGTCGACAGTTGAAGTCAACTAGCCTAAGATAGCCGCATAGCAAGAACGCTTCAGACAAGAGAAGTCACCAGCTCATACCAGCTCCTGTTCCAAACGTTTCGCGCCTCTTCAATTCCTCTAGCCTTGCACCCCGATATTAGTTAAGTTTCCCTAAAGAGCTAGGAACCAAGTGCGAGCGCTTCTTCGAGGAAGCGTAAGCTACCCATAGTGCTACCCATCCTAAGTAGTAGCTACTTAAGCTACTATATAGCTACCTGGCTACTAGCTACCTACCTCTACTCGCGGCCTAACCACCCTTTTTAGAAAAATGAAGTATTAAAAAAAATATATATATATATTAAATTATGATATATATATATATATAGTAACACCTCCAAAAAAGGAAAAACAACTCGCCCAGGACTTGGTGTCTCGGTCGGTGTCCTTCCGGCCCTGGGCCTTGGCCTCTTCAGCCTCGAGGGATCCAGGCGCTTTACATGCTGCTTTCGTGGAGGCGTGGAACGGACCGAAGGGGAAGTGAAACGCGAAGTGAAACGGAAGACGTCGGCAGTGAAGTTTGGATCATTTGCTTCAGACATCGAAGTTCGAACGGTCTCTCTCTCTTTCTCTGTCGGAAGGTCATGTTGAAGCCATGACTTTTGCTTCGCGTCGTGATGGCCTTTCGAAAGATATCATCCTGAAGCTGCTTAGCAGCTTAGCATCTGAGCAGGCCAAAAACCATTCATTCTGTTTTGCCTGCAGTTCTCAGTCACATGGCCGCTGACAGGCAGCCGATCGTATCGAGAAGGAAGTAGTTGAGCCAATGGAGTTGGCCAGCCTTTGGTGTTGACCTCAGATGACACCAAGCCTCAGATGGCTTCACCACTTCCATGGCATTCACACATTTTGCATTGACATGTTTCTTGGGTTGAGGCAGGTGGCGCTTTCTCAAAAAAAAACATATGCAAAAGATGAGAAGGAGCCATAGCCTATAACACTTCAAAGACCTTTTTCTGTATACGTTCCTGCGATCAGTTGTGTAGCTGCATCTTTTAGGGATTTGACTGCCATGCAGCCCATTGTTTGGTCCTTGCAAGGTGGGCCACATCAGTGGCCGCGCGCTCAGCCTTCGCCTAAAGCGGCCGCGCGCTAAAGCTGCAGGCCGCGCGTGTTTTTCGATGTCGTCGCCGGAGGTTGGAGCGAAGAATCGGAAGTGGACGCAGATCTTGAGCGTCTCGGCGTGGAAACCTCGGTCAGACCATGCGGCGCAAAGCTACGAAACAAAGGGCATCGCGACTCGAACGGAGCGATCGGACGCTACGTTCGGGGCTCCTGGCCTTACTACTAGGAACAAGGACGCTATGTTCGTAACAAAGGGCATCGCTAGTCGTTTTCTCTAGAGCTATTGCTGTGTGACTTTGGTGATTTGTTCGGACAGCTGGGCCGATCAATGTGGCGATGCTTGTGCCAAGGCCAACGGGCACTGGAGCAAATTCACCAGTTTACCTTCGATGAGTTGCTGGTGGTGATATGGGGAGCTTGTGGCACAGCGTGTGACGCTCACCGTGAGACCGGGGAGAGACTGGGAGAGGGTGCCATATGCTACCATGACAGCGCCAGCTCTGGGAGGGGTTTGGTCGATTTTGTCAGGATGCTGTGGTCCAGCTGTGCTTTCAAAAAGAAATGGCCGACCGCTTGGCCAACTTCGACACTTGGAATGCAGTTCGCCACTACACTTGGCCCTTCTCGCAATTCGGGGTGGTCATGAGGGTCATGGCCATCCTTTCCATTTGCACCGTCAACGGAAGAACCACCCCCAACACTCACTAGTACACTCACTGTACCCCCTCACTGCGGACTTCGAAAGGGATGTCGAAAGGACCGAGCACATCCCAGCACCAACAGCCGGAGCCGGAAAAACCGCTGCAAGAACGGAAGATTGGGTTGTGAAAGATAGAGGAGCTTCCGAGAGAGGCGACTGGCATCCTTCGCTCCACGAAGCTACGAACAGGGGCTCCTGGCCTTACTACTCGGAGCGATCGGATGCTACGAACGGGGGCTCCTGGCATTGCTACTAGGTCCTAGGTGCATTCTTACTACTATAAGTAACTAACTACTTCGGTTGAAGTCCAACCGGATGGTTCTGTGTCGCACCTCCGAGCTCGGAGAACCTCCGGTGTCAGGAGTGGTCTCACCTGCCTGCACGCTTCGGCCAGAGGGTGGCCTTAGATGCCCTAGGCCAGTGTGGGGAACTGGGGAGGGGGGAGAACATGGAGAATCTATTTGCATCTATTTGCCATTTGACATGTTCATGTGTGAGTTGACAACCTCTTGCTGCTTTTTGGGAACACGTCATCCTCTTAAGGTCGTAATCTTAGAGACAGACCGACAGACTACGCTCCAGGCTCATTGTGGGCGTGCACCTATTCTGGAACCCTCACTGGCGAAGCATCGCAATGGATCCGTTCCTCCTTGTCACGCCTGGGAGGCGCCAGACGCGACCAACGCGCCGTCTTCGCCAACGGCGTCCGGCCGCGCCAGGTCAGTTGGACGGAGGTCCGTCAGCCCACGGGTGCCGGGCCCCCGCGGCGGTCCCCGAAGACCTCCACGTCACGGCGCCGCACATCGTGATGGATACAGGGGACAGCCACTGGGAAAAAGACCGGTGCGATGGTTGACACGGTTCTCATGTCACACAAGGTGCATGGACATGGTCAATTGACATTATAGTTATTATAACTTACTATCTGTATATAAATGTTTTAAAGAATATCTCATGTTCAAAATCTAGATAGATGATGATAGATGTTGTTCTTGGCTGTTTCTTTCTGCTTGTTCCTCCGAGCGCAGCGGTACCTGAGGAGTGGTGCTCTTCAAACCGCCAGATTGGGAGGTGCACGATGCCAATGCCGAGCTGCAGCTGGCCAGCTTCATGGAGGCCATGTTCGGGAAGCTGCCCATCCTCAGAGATGAAGCGCATGAACACGGTTTCTCAGAAAAAGCACGAACACGGCGAACACGGGACATTCCGGGACATTGTTTGAGGTGCAAGATATCGTGCTAGAAACATGTGCCGCGCAGCACGGATTCAAGATTCAGATGAAGGCATGACATGGCACGACTAATTATGATCTAACATTCCTTGTTCTCTCGATTGGACGAGGTCCCTGAGCCCCTGCACTCATCACAATTCATCACTCGTCCCCAGTCAACAAGCAGCGAGAGAGAGAGAGAGAGAGAGATATATAGAAGACCGACATCCGGTAGGCCCTGTCGGAGTTCAGGCGCGTTTAGCGGCGGACGGAAGGGTCGACGACGTGTGGTCGTGGTCGTGCTGTCCCTACGTCTAAGGCTTCTTGCATCGCTTGGATGTGCCAAGTTCGGGCCTCATTTTGGCCGCCAAGTCCTTTGAGGCCTACTACGACTTGCAGGCGTGACCTTCATGTGACTGGAGGCTAAGGGGTGTCCAAAAGAACACCGGGTAAAAGGAAGGTCCTGGTAGGATGCATCCACATGGATCGAAGGAAGCAGCGTCCCGAACGGAAGCAGACGGAGGGATGGACGTGTGCGCGTCGAGGTGCAGCTGGTGACACGACGAGTTCCACGGGAAGCTTGGCCAAGTCGCGGCATCAAGTAGCCTACCTAGGCATTGTTCCAAGTTCTTGTTCGACTTGTTTTAGAAAAAATATAGGGATGCCGTGGCCTTGCCTCGAACCCTGACAGCCAAAAAAAAGAATAAAGCCAATCTCACAGCGAATCCTAAGGATTACTTGGTGCTTTGTCATGGTTGGATGGAGGCACATTTGAGTGAAATCACCGCACAGGCCCGGCGCGCGTCGATCCCGATCCGCGCGCCGTCTTGGACCGCCGGTCGGCCGAGGTGGTCATCGAAGATGGCGGTCGCACCGTGTCGGGCGGTCGAGGCAAACCAACGCTGACACATGTGAAGGCGGGGAGTGGTCCTTTCGGATTTGCACACGTCAGCCCGAAGGCTTGGGCTCTATAGACGCTTTCAAGCGCCATTTGTCGAGGTCCTGGCTCATGCGCGTCACCCGAGCTCGAAGATGAGTTTGCTGGTGATCCGCCCCCTGGACGCGCCATCGGGTCGTCGGGTCGTCGGCGAGAAGGGTCGGTCATGGAGCGCTGCGCCCGGTGGCTGCGGCCGAGGCATCGGAACGGGACGACGGCATCAGATTCGATCTCACTTGGCGCATCTGGGACATCCCAGCGCGACCTGGCGAGAACCGGAAGGGCTGACCTTGAAAAAGGTCTAAGAGGGATTTGATATAGATAGGGGTTGCAGCATGAATGAATGGGCTAGTGACAAGAAAGCTACTAGGGGTTCCTGGCCGCACTACTAGGGGGCAAGGACGCTACTAGTAACAAGAAGCTACTAGTTGTGAGCACGGCGTCGGTTGTTCAGATCGCTAGCGGTGGCGGACCCAGGTGACGGATGGGCGATATTCTTCGCTTTGGACCTTCTTGCTGGACGTGCAGATCTGCCAGCGCAACTTTTTGCACCGGTGCCTTGCGAGCGGGCGAATGGCGCGCCGCGACGTAGGCGAGAGCGGCTGATGGGCCTTGTGGACCGTCCATTTCCGCGCCACAGTACCCTTATAAGTTTAGTTCCTAGTAAGCAAAACTACTGGATCCGATGTAAGTGAATGTAAAGATTCACAGATCACTGGGCCGTAGCTGCATTGCATAGCGCCTGCTGAGGTACTACTTGGGTTTTGGTGATGAAATGGGGACCTGTCGGCGGGTGTGGAGTTCGGTGCCGCCAGATCTACAGGAGATGCTGCTGTCATTACAGGGTCGATCGGCTGCAATGCCCGTCGGACGGCAGGTTTTTCCGGTTTTCGACGAACTCTACCGAAGGTCTTGGGAGGACTGAGTCACTGGGTCTCATCCAACACAAGGAACTAATTCAGAGTTCTGCTGAGAGCTCTGAACACGTGAACACCGGACACGGCGAATCCGAGAGAGAGAGAGAGTATCACAGAGAGAGACGTTTTTGTCCCCGTTCCAGGCAAAACTCCAGAATGCCATGATGGCCTTCTTGCTTGGACCAAGACAGCCAAGCCAAAGGACTTTTCGCAACATGAAGCGAGAAAGAGCTGTGGAAGGGGATCAAAGGGGCCTGTCTTGGAGGCCGCCAATTGCAACGATAGACTTCATGTCCTTTCAAGTTTCTCCGTGCCTCCTATGTCATTTTTCTGTTATCATGACTGCCTATTCGAGAGGAAATTACGGTGGGCTGCGGCTGCTGTTCTAAAATCGAGGTCATTCAGGCTCCATAGTTACATCATCCTGTAATCAATTATTCATCCCTACTAATCTCTACCTGGACCTTCCAGTTCGTACCTTTCAACACATGGCACCTGAGCCACCGCCCTCCCCGTCCCGTTCGCCCGAGGTCCGGCCGAGCCTCGCTCGAGCGGCCGAGGCGTGGAGGAACTCCGATCGTTCCCTTCGGGTTGTATTTTCACTCCATGTAATATGTACACTTTGTACCATGCACGTAGTAGGATGTCATGTAGACCTACCTTTCGCAGCTCGCGGCCCAAAACAGGAGTTGCAGCTTAACGGCTGTTTCTATAGGTTATCAGCCGTAGTGCTCTAACCACAGCCATGGACGCTCTCGCCATTCCTGGAAACGGCACATCATCGGTAGCAGTCCCAGCCGGTCTCATGACTGAGCCCACGGTGGATCTAGATGACCCCATGGGTTCAGCTCCTGTCACAGCTTACTTTCAGTTCGTTCAGCAAAACATCCAACAAGTGTACAACGGAAACGAAGATGCTATTATTGCTGAGGCAGAGAGAAGGCACAAAGAGATAATGGGACAATGGTTGGAAATGGTAAAAACCAAGTTTCGTCAAGCAATCGATGAAGTAGCGAGCAAGCATCATGAGGAACTCAGTTCGGTAAGGCAACAAGCTCAATCTAGCTACAACCAAGTGCAAGGGGAACTAAGTGCCGCAAAAGCACGAATCCTTAAGCTAGAGGGTGAAAGGTCCATTGAAGCTGAAGCCAGAAAAGCAGAACTGGACTCCTTGCGCATTCAGCTCATGCACGATTGTCAGCAAACTGTCACTGCCATCACCAGCGGTGCCGAGCAAGGTGTGGCAACGCTTCGTGCAGAGTTCGATGAGCGGGAAACTCAGCTTCGACGTGAGCTATGCGACGCAGAAAATGAAAACTATAGCCTGCAGCAAATGCTCGATGACCTTAAAGCCAAAATGCATGCTGGACCCGGGCTAGAGTACCATCCAACAAGTGTCATGAACACACCAGTGTCTACCCCTAGGCATGATGACACAAAGAGGAAAAATCCTCTGGAGACCATTGCAGCAGAGGCTACTGCACGTTTGAGTGGACTGTTCGCACCCAAAGCGCCGACGGCCACCATCATCGGTGATGCCCCACCAGGGGCAGCTGCTCCTATCAAGCCCGTGCTTCCAGTTTACGGAGGCACAGCAGCGGATGGGGGCAAAACACCGACAAATTTGTTCCATAGCCCTGCACCTTCAATTCGCGAACCCCATAAGCCAGCGTCATCAGGTGCTATCACCTCTGAGCAGGTGATTGAATTGGTCAAGTCACTCACTCAGAGAGAGTCAGATGAGAAGCCAAAGGTAAAGGAGGCAGATCATATCAAGCTGAATGACATGCCAACCCCTGAAACCTATCGGCAGTGGAAACATCATGTGAGGGACGAAATCAAGTCATGTTCTGACAAACCAGATGCTGCCTGGGACTGGTTAATGGAGGTTTACAACACTGTTGATGAGAGGAAAGTTCTGGAAGAGCGGTTGTCTAACCCTGGGAAGTTCACAACGTTGGATACCAAGTTGGCAGCTGCACTGACCAGAAGTGCAAAGGGTGATCTAGCAAACCGAATCATCAATTACAAAGAAGAGAAGGCAAAGCTAGGCATCCAGGTTCGAGGAAGGATGATTCTTCTCATGTTCGATGACTATTTCAAGACCTCGGAAGAAGCGGGTAGCCTCTACAGGGTTGAAGATCTCCTTAATGTGGTAAAGGTAGGCGATACTGTAGCGGACTTGAAGCGTTTCATCAACCGCTGGGACGCTACCATCGCTGGTATGCCCGAACCACCGCATGAAAACGTGCTTCGAGACATCCTTTTAAGGCAGATCCGCACTAGCACAATCCTGAGGTACGACATTGATCTCTTCGATCGCGCAAAAGAAGGTGACCATCATCGGTCTTACAAGTTCCTACTGCAAAGCATCAAGGATCTGATAGATCGGGAACGCCTTCGTGAGAATCGATCACGTATCGCGGAGCGAAATCGGCTCAAGCCAGGTGATCGACATGAGAAGAATGCAGCCCCTACTGTTGATCCTCGGCGAAAGCGTTCGCCATCGCGCGGACGATCCACTTCTCGGGAAAAGGGCATTTGTTGGGCCTTTTTGGAGGGAAAGTGTGCAAAAGGGAAAGATTGCAAGTTCAAGCATGAAAAGCCCAAGCGTGACCCTTCCAAGAAGCGCCAACCATCCCGGGAGCGGAATGAGTCGAGGGACAAAAGCACAGATAAGGAAAAGAAGCGGATGACTAAGGAAGAGATGGCGAAGACCCCATGCAGGTACGATCAACAAGGTACATGCAGAAGAGGAGACAAGTGCTTTTTCAAACATGGAGAAAAGGCAGCACCGGCTCCGAAAACGAAGCCAAGAAAGGATTCCCCAAAGCCAAAGGCAAAAGGAGATACCAAGAAGGCTGCCATTTGCCTGAGCAATCGGTTTGCATGTCTTGCAACTGGTGTGCCCGGACGATCATGTCTCAAGAAGTCCTGTCTTCCTCCAGCGAGAAAGAGGTCTAAGTCGTCTGTCCGAAGAACTACATTCGTTATGAAACCTGAAATTCGCACCATCCCTGCTCGCGGGGAACATTGCAAGATGGTCAAGCGTGAGCGCAAGTACAGTGTGCATTTTGCCACGAGCGATCGCGTGCCCAAGAGCGACCCAAAGGCAGCCCACATGGCCAAGGTGAAAGCTAGGCAGTTGGCTGAAGTTGTTCGAAGCTTTGATAGCGCAACAGTGCCCTCATGTTGTTTCCTGTGCACCGAATCGTCGCTTACTTGTCGTGAGTGTCGAAGCTTGATCAAGTTGAAAACATGTCCTACTACCATCCCGACAATAGTTGCTGGTCCAGCACCAAGGGAAGGCAGGTTCTCATGGCTCGTCGATTCCGGGAGTGAGCAAGACCTCCTCAGCAGAAAAGTTATGGATGCTGCTGGTGCGGAGAACCCAAGACGGGCTCCTCACACCATCAGTCTGATTACTGCAAATGGGTCGACCGAAGCCAGCGAGGTAGCTGATGTCAAGATGAAGCAGCTGCTGGAGCCTTGCACGCCGTATTTGCTGGATGAATGCCCGGCTGTGCTCTCAGTTGGCATTAAATGCCTTGACCAAGGGTATAGTTTCGTGTGGCCAGCAAACGGTACTCCGATCCTTGTGCGACCAGATGAGAAAATCGTTCAACTTCGTGTTGATGGTCATGTCCCAGTCCTCGACTCCGAGTGCAAAGTCTTTGGAAAGGGCAAGTTCAAGAAGGATAAGCCTCTGAAGAAGCTGTTTGCTATGCCGGGAGCAATCTCGAGCCCATCGGATAAGAAAGAGGATGAGGGCATTGACGAGGAAGTGCCAGACGACGAAGAGAGCCGTTTGGTGCGATCAAGAAAAGTTGGAGACTTGATGCGTGAAGCACAGTCCGCAAAACACCAGTATCACCACTTCCCCAAGAACCCATTCTGCAAAGTGTGTCAGCGAGCGAGGATGCTTGCACCACAGGCACGAAAGAAAGGGGGTGAAAGCCGCATTCAGACTAAGGCTTTCGGCGATCATCTGATCGCCGACCACGTCGTCGTGCGCGCGAACATCGAAGAAGGGAGTCGTGGCGAACGGGTAG